TCCCCTCCTCCCCTCCCTCCCCTCCCTCCCTCCCTCCCCTCCTCCCTTCTCCACACCTCCTCCTCTTGTCCTTCTTGTCCTTCCACTGCCTGCTACCTGTAGCCCGCGCTCACGTGTCGAGCAGGGGACGCCATCGCAGCGCAAAGCCGCGTATCAGGTGGGAGGAGTCGCGCAGGAACGAGGCTGAGGAGATGCAGGCTGCGCAAGGGATTCTCAACAGCATGGGGAAGGAGAAGTTGTACCTGGCCAAGGAGATGTGGTCAGTCGTGATAGGTACCCATCTCCCTCTTGAAGATCTCACTCTTCTTCCTCCGTGCCCTCTGCTCCTCTCCCTGATCTTGTCTCCCTCCTCTCCGCCCTGTCCTCCCGCTCTCTCTCCAGCATTTCCCCCCTCCTCTTCTCCTTTTTCTCGTCCTGCATGCCCTTCTCGTCCTTGCCTGCCTTCTTATGCTCCCCGTAGGTGCCAAGGGCGCGAGAATCCGAGGGGTGAGGAGAAACGCTTGAACCCTCCTCGACCACCACCATCACAACCTCCTCCTCCTCTCACTTCTCTACTCCCTCCCTTCCTTCCTCTACCTCCTCCTCCTTTACCTCGTCTAGCTCCACCTCTAGCTCCTCCTCTAGTCCTCCCCTACATCCTCCTCCTCTGACGCTGCTCTTGTCAGATCGAGAAGGACACAGGAGCCAAGCTTCAGCTGATTGAGGAAGGCAACACCTCCTTCCTGCAGGTAGTTCTCAGCTGAACACTAGCTGGGGTCTTGTGTCGCCTCTGACAAGCTGGGCAGATTTCCGGGACTAACAGCCAGCGACGAGAGGCGCTCAAGATTGTTCGCTCACACCTCGACCGGCAGGTTGAGGAGGAGGAGGAGGAGGTGCCGGTCGAGGAGGAGGAAGATGAGGACGAGGAAGAGGAAGAGGAGAGCGAGGGGGAGGAGGGGGAGGAGGTGCCGGTCGAGGAGGAGGAAGATGAGGAAGAGGAAGAGGAGAGGGAGGGGGAGGAGGGGGAGGAGGAAGGAAGGACGAGGAATGAGTGCAGAGGAGTCAGTGACTCATGGGAACGTGTGCAGGAGCAGGAGCTTTTGCCTATTCCAGTTAAGTTTCATGGGTTGATCATCGGCAAGGTGATTTCTTTGATTCTCCTCCTCTTCCTCCCCCCCCTCTCGCTTCCCTCCCTCTCCTTCCCCCCTCCTCCCCCTTTGCCCCCTTCCCCTTCTTGCTCTCTCCTCCTGCTCTCTCACCCTCTCGGTACACGTCTCCTCTCCCCGTTCTCATCTCTTGCCTCTCGTCCCTCCCCTCTTCCGATGTGCATGCTTCGGCTGATGCGTCTGCAGCGAGGTTCCGTTGTGAGGGAGATTCAGCGAGAGTCAGGTGGGCGGAAGAAAGAGAGGGGAAGGGAGGAAATCGGGGGGAGAAAGCACGAAGAGGGAGAGCGAGGAGGGAGAGAGGGGAAGAAGACGTACTGGAAGGACGAGGACGAGAGAGAGGACGAGGACGAGGACGAGGACGAGGACGAGGACGAGGAGAGGCGACGACGAGGACGAGGACGACGAGGATGCAGCAAGTGCGTTGACTTGTAGATCCAGGAGCCGTTGTCAACCTCGTGAGGCTACCGGAACCCGGCTTGAGGGTGAGAGGTCTCCTGGTTCAGAGGTCAGTCAGCGTCTTTCCGCTCTCCCGCTCCTTACGGCTCGCAGGGACAAAGCCATCGGCATCACTCGCCACATGACTCGAGAGCTGCCTGCGGTCTGCACAAGAGGAGGAGGAGGGAGGAGGAGGAGGAGGAGGAGAGAGGGAGAAGGAGAGGGAGAAGGAGA